GGACTCCAGGATCATGACCTGAGCCGAAGGCAGTCGCTTAACCAACTGAGCCACTCAGGGGCCCCTTAAATAGATTTAAAATATGACTCAGAAAGGATGCGGCAGAAAGTGTTCACTAAAAAAAAGTAAGAATGATAGGAGATGCTGAAATTCCTTTCCCAAGACCTAACCATAGCCAAAAGATCCACTGGAAGAACAGAAGAGGGGGAGCTCTTTTGGAGCATCTCTTTTGACTGAAGCCTCGGGGCTTCTTCAGGGGTCTAACTTCCTGATCTGGGGCCTGGCAGAAAGTCCCTACATGAAGCCAGGAAGGCTGAAGAACATTCTGCAGTATTGGCCTTGTAAGCTGTGATCATTTTTAAGGTTGACGAGCATAGTTCACTATGAAACGAAGCAAGGAACTTGGCATTTATATATTGTGAGTCAATTTTGACATCAGCCTGGACTGGGACTTAACTGGAAGGTTTTGGTGTTGGGCTCTGGCTACACTTCAGCCTCTCGATCCAGAGGCATGCATGAGCAATACTTCCCTTTGGGCTTTGGCCATTAATTTGTGGAATGGAGCAAGAACTGGAGAGGAAAATCGAGAGACTGCCTTGGATTTCCTGACGTCCTGTTGAATCAAAAAGCAGTGGGAGGCCCTTTCCTTCCTGACAAAGGGCTCATCCCCTCTCATGAAATTCCCAGCAGCGGTCTCCATGTTAGGGACAGTCCCTCCTCATTCCAGACTGCAAATCCACAGGCACCCCTGGGCAAGTATCGGCCTTCTGCCTAGTCCAGGTGTTTTCTAGGCCACTTCCCCTGATTATGTAACTTTGATCCAATCCAGATGCTGCAGAATGCTTGATAGAAGAGGTCAAATGGCACTGGAGAAGAAAAGCATTTCTGTATTCATGACTTTGGTTTAATTTCCTGTGTGGGCCGGGTCTGCCAGAGTTGTGTGCTCATGGCCGGGAGGTCAGGACTCCAGAGGGAAGCGCTCAAATGTTTTTTCAGGACAGCTCGAGGAGATTCCTGCTTCCCCAGGGTTCTTTTTCAGGTTAGATTATCAATTAGGGAAGTGTCAGCTGGCTCTTATTTATGATGGCAGTTTCTCTATTTTTGTCATTGTTTTCTGAATTATAAAAACAATCCCCATTCATTGTGAGAAATAGGCCATAATATAGAAGAGAATAAAGGAAATTTTAAATGTTTATAATCCCACTACCCCACGTGAACCACTCTTAATGGCACTGTTAACACACCACCCTGGGTTAATAACTACTGTTCACATTTTGGTGCGGTTCCTTCTGTACTTTTTTCAGTTTTTATAAAATTGGGATCATGCTGTATATAACAGGTTGTAGTATGAGCATTTAAACAATGCATTATTATGTGTATGTTCCCAAGCCAGTGGTTGTTTTTCTAAAAATATTTTGAATGGCTTTATGGATATATTCTGTATTACGGATGGACCACAAGCTAACTTACCTTCTTTTGATAGATATTTTGTACTTTTTCTGTGCTGCTATTTAAAAATCAGTATATAGAAATAATTGTGTGGATCTCAGGATAATTCCTAGAGGTGGATCTAAGGTTATGGAATTATTTTGAGATTCGGTTTGTATTTCCGGTTGCTTTCCTAAAGTGTTATGGCAATTTCTACAGCAACCACTGGCATTGTATGAGAGTTATATTTCATTGAAGTCTTACACTGACTTAGCCTCAAGAAAATGTACCTGCCAATTTGATGAAGAATTTGCATTTCTTTGATTACTAGCCAGGGCTAACATGCTTTCCAAGTTTAATGGTAATTTAAATTTTCTGTGAATTGCTTATTCATGGTTTTGGTTCATTTTTCCATAGTGGAGGGATTTATCTTTTTCTGTTGATATGCAAGAGTTCTTTTATGTTGAGAATCCTCAGGCTGATGGTGTTACTTAATATAATGACAATAGAAGTCTTTAACTTGCTTCCACTTAACCAACTTACTAGGTTGACCAGCATCTCCGCTTCCTGTAAAAGCTGCCTCCCTAGTGCCCAGGGCCCACTGCAGTCCTCTGCCACTCACTGCCCAGCCACACCAAGAGCCAGTTACATTTCTTTTTTTTTTTAATTTAATTTTATTATGATACGTTAGTCACCATACAGTACATCATTAGTTTTTGATGTGGTGTTCCATGATTCATTGTTTTCGTATAACACCCAGTGATCCATGCAATACGTGCCCTCCTTAATACCCATCACCAGGCTAACCCATCCTCCCACCCCCCTCTCCGAGCCAGTTATATTTCTTTCCAGATCTTCAGATACACTTGTTGTTTTATTTACTTGGTTAATATGAAACCAGTGAAATGCAGGTGTAAAAAGAGATTTGTTTCTATGATATTCAGATGGATGCCTTAGACAGACTCAGTAAAGGCAGGTGATTTTAAACACTGCTGCCGGACCAGGTGTGGATGAGCCAGCTGTAAGCGTTTGGAAGGGACCGTGCTGGGGTCACGGAGATATAAATCCAAGTCCTCTCCCCCTGCAGGAAACCGAAGCTGAAAGCCAGATGATGGGGACAAGCTCTGACTGTCACCACATACCCACCCCCGAAAGGGCAGGCTTTGCCCCTGCAGTCAAGGCCAGCAAACCAACACACATTCAGTTGGGGAGGGGGGGTAGATCAAACATTTTAATAAAAAAATAATTCTTTGCCTTAACCGGCTTTATTTGGTTAATTGATCAATCCCTGATCATGATGGTGCTAGGTGTGCTTTTAGAGCCCATGTAAAATACTCAAAAGAACAGGGCTTAACCCGTCACTAAGGCTTTTCTACACTCTAGGAAGTGGCAGTGTTACAGACACTCTTCCTTGAATTTCTCTTTGCCCTTATGATTCGTACAATGAGATTACCAAACATAGTAATGACATAATTTGGGATTTACTCTTTTAGCAAAAGCAATTCCTGAAGGTTTACTTCAGTCAGTAGTATAAAAGCTAGAATTGAAAGACCCTTGTTAGGGTCTTTCTGCCTGGGTGGCTCAGTTGGTTCAGCAACTGCCTTTGGCTCAGGTCATGATCACATGGTCCTGGGATTGAACCCTGCATCAGGCTCCCTGCTCAGTGGAGAGCCTGCTTCTCCCTCTCCCTCTGCTGCTCCCCCCTCACCCCACCCCACTCATCTTCTCTCTCTCTCTCTCTCTCTTTCTTTCTCGCTCACTCTATCTCAAGTAAATAAATAAAATCTTTAAAAAAAATGAAAGGACACTTGTTATTTATGTTGTATCAGCTTATTCCAAAGAGATATTTTAAAGAATGCCAATTTCTGAAAGTTCTCCGGTTGTGTTTCTGGAAGGTTAGCCTCATTCCTCAGAAGTCTTAGGTGTCTCCAGTGGTTGGTTTGGTTTGGTTTGGTTTGGTTTTTTTTGGGAAGTGAATACTGCAGAATCAGGCCCATCCTTGAGATGGGTGTTATTGCCCAAGAAAAGATGCTTAGGGGTTCTCTCTAAATCCATAAAGAGGGAAAATTTAAATAAATTTAAATTTTTTTTTTTAAGATTTATTCATTTATTTTAGAGAGATTGAGTGCAGCCGGGGAAGGGGCAACAGGAGAGGGAGAGAGAGAATCTCAAGCAGACTCCCTGCTGAGTACAGAGCCTGATGCGGGGCTTGATCCCACAACCCTGAGATCATGACCTGAGCTGAAACCAAGTCGGACACTCAGCCGACTGAGTCACCCAGGCGCCCCTAAATAATTTTCTTACCATTTGGGAAAATTAGAATTTTCCCCTTTATCTCCTTTTATAAAGTTTGATTTCTTATTGTAGTTTCCTTAAATGAGTATTCAGATTTCAATCCATAATATCCTATGACTATTAAGACCTACTTACTACTTTCTAAGGCTCTGTCTCAGGGCTCCTGGGTGGCTCATTCGGTTGAGTGGCCCGCTCTTGTCCCTGCTTGTCCCTCTCCCTCTGTTCCTCCCTCCACTCGTGCACGCTCGCTCATGCTCTCTCTGTCTCAAATAAAATCTTAAAAAAACAAAAAACAAAAACCCTCCTTGGAGTATATTTGCTGGCTAAAAAAAAACTGCACATGTATATCACAGAAATTCTAGTGAGGCTGAGCATAGTTCAAGAAAAAAAGGAAGAAACTTCAGGAAAAAATAATGAACTATTTGACCCTGTAGTGAACAGTGGCCTCATGTTCTTAATATAAGAAATGTTGATTGGTGTTCAGCTTTTACAGTCTACCTATATACGAAACATGAAGGACTTTATTACAGAGTGGAAGAAACTTACTAGTTTTCACAAAGTAAAAGACATGTAAAGAAGGCCATATTTGAGAGTGGAGAGAGAGCTGGAAGGAAGGGTAGGATGATAATATTCTTATCTTGGGAAGTAAATAGCTGAGAGACACTGTCTATAGCTGGAGAACAAGAAGTAAAGTCTGTGCAAGTCTGTTAGTGAAAATGCAAAGGTAACTGGTAGAGGCTGACGGGAGCCGTGGGGGCAGAGGCGCCAGGGTAGGGTAAAGCAACCCAGAGATAGAGGGGTCACCCAAAGCACAGCTGTTGCCTCTGGGTGGAGAGGAGAGTAGGGTAGAAGGTGTTTGTCCTTCATTATAAGCCCTTCTGTCTTACTTGATTTTTAAATTATGTGCCCATATTAACTTTGACATGTTTTTAAATGTTTTAAAAAAATTTTTGTTCTCCGTTATATGTAAGCAATGGCAAAGACATATGAGGATGGACCATTTCCAGTTTTAACTGAGTTCATTTTGAATTAATGAATTTAAAAAGCTGAAACTATTTGGGAACAGTGATTGCCACCTTGGAATGAAAATACTTAATATTTTTCACAGGAAGAGTCCATTTTTATTTTACCGCCTTTCTTATTATCACATGTAGATGTTGAGAAATGAAATAAATTAGAAATGTATAATGATGGAAACAGACTTTTTTTTGCTCCTGAGAATAAAACTAATTTTCCCCAACTCTTCCTGTTTCTTCTGTTTCCCCTTTGTCTTCCAGAAGCCCTTCAGAGGCCAGTAGCATCTGACTTTGAGCCCCAAGGTCTCAGCGAAGCAGCTCGTTGGAACTCCAAGGAAAACCTTCTCGCTGGCCCCAGTGAAAATGACCCCAACCTTTTCGTTGCACTGTATGATTTTGTGGCCAGTGGGGACAACACCCTAAGTATAACTAAAGGTAAAAGGGCTGTGGACCGCCGCTGGTGCTTGCAAGAGACAGAAATCAGGGGAAACTGTGGCTTGACTGGCTACCCCTTTGCCTAGTGAAAGAGCAGCTTTAAAGTTTGGAATGCAGAGGCATCCAAAAAAACAAAAAACACTCAGCATCTTTATAAGAGAGCTACTTTTCCTTAAGGAGAAGAGTTCCTATACAGTAGTCCTTAGGAAAAACAGCGTTGTAGTGAAAAGAACGCCTGGACCAAACACTGAAAATGCCCTTTTTTTTTTTTTAAAGAAAAAGTATTTTTTTCCCTAAGAAACTTCATTATGTTAGGAACAGAACACTTGAATAAACATAATAGATTTATGAAAAACTGAGGCTCTGTATTTCTCTTATATTCAGTACAAACAGGAAGCTTCATATATAAACGTATACTCTTTTTATATACACTTATAAATGCATATATTTATGTGGATTTGTTAAAGGGAAGTAGGTATTTAGGAATTTGGAGATTTTTAGTAATCCTATAAGAATAAATGGGAATGAACGAAGCCAGCCTTTAAAGCTGATGTCTGATTTGATTCTCCTCTTCTAAGGTGAGAAGCTCCGGGTTTTAGGCTACAATCACAATGGGGAATGGTGTGAAGCCCAAACCAAAAATGGCCAAGGGTGGGTCCCAAGCAACTATATCACGCCAGTCAACAGTCTGGAGAAACATTCCTGGTATCACGGGCCCGTGTCCCGCAACGCGGCCGAATACCTGCTGAGCAGTGGGATCAACGGCAGCTTCTTGGTCCGGGAGAGCGAGAGCAGTCCTGGCCAGAGGTCCATCTCGCTGAGATACGAAGGGAGGGTGTACCACTACAGGATCAACACTGCTTCCGATGGCAAGGTAGGGGATCCTAGTCGGGAGAGCTGATGGGCTGGGGGTGGCAGCCTTCGGCCAGGAGGACCCAGAGCTCCTGCTGCTGGGGTTAAGAAGTTATCATGACAAATCTCAACCGGGAAGATGCTTTTTTTTTTTATTATTGTTATGTTAATCCCCATACATTACATCATTAGTTTCTGATGTAGTGTTCCATGATT